ATAAATTATTCTTCACCATGAAGATTTTTTTCCTGCATCGAACAAAAGAATTACAATGATTCAATGCTGCTTAAAAATAAAAAATAAAAAAAATAACTAAAACATCGCATTACACGCTCAACAATATCATCGTATTATCCTTTGAAATTCTTATTGTACGAAAGAAAATTGCTGTATGTTTTGTGAATTATTATAACGAGTGAAAGGTCCACACTTACTTGCCCGCAGCAAAATGACGTCATTAGGAGGGTGAAGTTCAAAAATTTGAGAAGGAAGATACGCGATAACTCTTACATTCTCGAATAGCTTCTATTTAGAGAAATTTGGTCGCCATTTTTATTGAAGAATTATGGATAATTTAGTATTTCGTCACTAGAAAATTGTCTAATTTTAGTTGATTGCTTCTAAACTGGAGATAATAACCATGATCATCAATTTTTTCTACATCCATTTCGTTTAAGTTGCAATTAAATAAAATAATAATATTGTATTTAGTTTACTTATTTCAATTTTTATGTATAAAATATTTTTCTAGCTATTTTAACACAGAAAACAATCGTTCGAATCACATCGTTGGCCATAGAAACCATCAGATTATATTGTCAAATTTTATAAATTTTGTTGAGATAACAATCGGTTGGATTTAATCATGATTTAAATTTTATCTTATCAAATACTTATTAATATCAAATAATTCAATAACTTAATCATCGCTTTAGCCTTTAATTATGATAAATAGTTAAAAGCTAAAATAAAATAAAAAGCAATCTTTTCGATTGCAAATGTTGCTTTCTTCGGAACAAAAAAAAAATGTCGCTTAAAAGATACACATTTGTCATAGCATTCTTTAGCGGTTGGAAAGCGTCCAAAAATATTTTGGCACCCAATGTGCCCCACCCTTGCTTCATCGGTATCTAAAGTATTACCCCCATGAGTTTCTTTAACTGTTAAAAAAATTTTTAAATATTTTTTTTTTTGCCAAAATTTTATCTAAATTTTTTACTAAAATATCCCTGTAAAATTGTTCAAAAAACTTATAAAAGTTAATTAACCGCGTCATTACTCGGCATTGAATTCGATAAACGAGGTATATAAACTACAGAGTAATTTTCTTTTTAGCTACAGATTTGTTTATTCGGCAAACATATTTTGAATTTGCTCGCCTTCAAGTCAAATCTGCTCTAAACTGAGTTGAATGATCATTGGTAATATAGGCTATAATTATTCTCAGCTTTAAATTTAACAAATAATGTGTATAACTTAAAACCTCACTATTCGTAGGAATTAATAAAAATGGCATATATTTATATGCCAAAGAAATCATTAAATACATTACCTAAAGATGCTGGCCCATTTATGATAAAGAAAATTTAGTAAATGCTATTAAATAATATTAGATCCATGGAAATTTTTACGTCTTTGGGTTCGAACAAGTATCAATTATCTAAATAATTATGGCTATTAATAGTAAGTCCAGAGAGTAATTAGATCTATCGGGAGTCAGCTACTTACCAGTCATTAGCCAAAAAGTACAGCACTCATTTTGACATCATCAGTTAAGCAGAAACATATCCCATTGAGAATAATTCATTGCGGTAAAGACACCCTGACATCCACGTGGCCCACAACAACAGACTCGTTGGCCCGGCCATCCCATCTTCTAGCACCAAAATACAACTGGCCGATTGCGTCATATTGTGTAATCCTAATACTATTTTAAATTTAGCAAACTAACTAAGAGAAGTTAGTGTCATTTTTTTGTGTGTGACCTTGCCCGTATAAAACTCTAAATTATGATTATTCGACCGTTTCCAATTAACCGCGTTACCCCGCTAACTGAGTATAATGATTCGTATTCTTGGCAAAACGAAATTTTAATCCCTGTATTTCTTTTTAGAAGTATGGAGCGAAAATAAAGATTTACGTAAATGAAAAAAAAGAGAGAGAGAGAGAGAGAGAGAGACCGTAAATGATCTCAAAGCTGGGTTTGGATTGATAAATTATGAATAGCTTTCATATTTTTTTCCTTTTTTGATATATGTAAAATTCGTTTTTTACGATGGAAAATACGGGTTTGGAGTATGCCAAAGACGTTTGTTTCGTGACAATAAAAATGATAGATAATACACCCATTTCATAAAACTACAACAAAACAAAAACTAATGCGTTTTAAATTTAAATCTAAAATAAAGCCAATAAAATTTCGTTCCGTAAAGTTTTATTCTCCAAAAAATATTTATTTTATATCGTTTTACAGTTACGTTTCCATCATGGCTCCAAATGCGATATATCAATATAAAAATGAAATTTATAAATTGTCTGTGATTGATTGTTCTCTTTCGATTTGCTTCTGTCAAACTTGTATCTAATTTTTATGATATTCTATTGTACTGTAATTGCTAGTTTATCATGTAGAAGTAGAAGTATAAACAATCGAAATCGATCTCCATTAAAACAGCTCCATAAGTTACTATATAATTTGCCAGTTTAACGACTTTATATATTTATAAATAAGAACTTAAACGATTAAAATACGATATCTAATAATATTCACACTCGAATTGCGCCATTTTTTAAGACAATAAAGAAGTGTAGACTTAATACAAATATTTATACTTTATAAAATAATTAATTTAGAAAATAAGAATAAAAATACTATAGCCTATAGCCTATACATTGTCATCCATTTTAAGTCTTAATTTACAGATAAAAATGAATTATTTCCCAGAAAATTCGACAATTGTTCACATTAACACATATACTAATTTACTTAATGTACTAAATGTACAGTACAGTACAGTACTTAATACATTGATATTAAGAAAAATAATGGATTAATACCATTTTTGTGCTTAAAATCTATATGTGTTAATGATATTAATCTAGTATTAAGGAATTACAATAAATGATTTAACTACATGTGGAATAAACTTTTACCAACTCTCACAATATCATCACCTACCCTACAATAGGTAGGCCTATAATTAATCACACTTAGAACATTATTTCACTATAAATAGTTTATTCTTTTTTGCTTAACCTGCTAACTTTAGAAATCAACTCAACACTTTTTACTATCACAAGTCAACAAATAAACTTCAATGAGATAAAAACTAAAAACAGAAGTGTTTCGTATGCCAATATAAGTTTATTAAATAAATATAGTTGTACAAAGTTTAATAATAACTCAAAAATAATTTTATTAAATATTATCTGGTTTTAATTAACGAAACAATTACTTATAAAGCGTAGTTACTGATGATACTAGACACAATATATTGAGTTTAGGCTATTTTCAGAACAAATATTTTCAATTAAAAACATGTTAATTGAAGCGTATAGAATTCAACCTGTTGTGTAAATGTTGGCGAAATAATTCTAGCAATATAATAAATTTTCTAACAAGTTTTGCTAAATAATTCCTATTTCATTATCATTAAGTGCAATTCTTTCTTCAAATCAATTTATATCAAACCACATATAACTCATGCGTTTATAATCTGTTTATTGGATATAAAATATATTAATATCAGGCCAGACAGGCCTATATATAGGCTATACTGTATATAGATATAAGTTATATTATACGATACATACAAATAAACATTAAAATACTATTGCCCATCGACAGTTTATAAAATTAGAATAACTTTTATGATAATGTAAAGCAATTCATTTTATAACTAAACCAAGTAAAATTATTATGTTTGTAGATTCTGTTATATATAAATGTATATTATTCTTTGAATTCGAAATAAGATTATGATATAAGATAATTTAATTGTAATTGTAGATCGAAAATGCATACTCAAATAATTTACCTTGATAATATTTGTAAAAAATACTTTAGGAAAATTAAATTAATTCTATCTAATTTATTGTTTTATTTAAAAAACTAATCAAAATTAGATTTTAGCAATAAACTGTAAAAAAAATTCTTTTTTGTTGTATTTCCATAAAGATTTAATAGTTATAGGCCCCATAAACTAACATTAATGAAATGTACTTTATTTTTTTATATAAAAATAAGAATCTTATTTATAAAATAGAATCTTATATATAAATAAGATTGGCGAAGAATCTTTTATATAAATAAGATTCTTCGCCAAACAAAGATAAATCGTAAAAATAAATTTTTAAACATTCAAAATGTTTTCGATTAAAAAGTATTGCTTTTATAAGGCTTAGGTCGGAGATTTTATGCAAATACAACCATTGCCACTCAGATACTCAGCTCTTTCTTGAAACAAATGAACCAAAACAGACAAAATACTGAAGTATATTTGTAATAAACTACATTAAAACATATTTTTTGCATACTTTTATTACATTGAAAAAAATATGTTTATCACCATCGTGTTTTTGTATCGCTCGGTTAAACTGATATTGATATAAGCCGATAACTGGTCTTGTAATAAGCAAACCAGCTTACATCTTGGTTCAGTTACACTTTATACAATCTTAAGTTTCTAGAATAAGTCGGGAATTCCCAAATAAAAAGATACTTAATTTCAAGTAATTTCAATCTCTTCAATTTAAATCATTTTACATCATCACACCAAGCAAATTTGATAAGATTATTATATAAACCATTATCTTACATACATCTGAATAATAACAGTAATCTTCTATGGAATTATGTCCCGCTTTTCGGATATTAGATTACGTCAAGCCCCTCTAAACTAAGGGTATAAAGCTCTAGAACAGGTTTGGATCGCATTATTCCTTCTTATATTTTGTTCATTCTTTAGGACAATGTCTTTACAACCCAGCCCAGAGTTAATACACGCGTTCGACTTAGACCTAATATTACGAGGTGATGAGTCAGGCCGGAAAGAAGTGAGAAATGATCGAAGCGACACCGCATTTCCATCGCGGTTAACCAGGTTCGGTTAATTATTTATGAATTAAAAAATAACGGATCCTTAATCTAGACGCTTCGCTCCAATCCGTTAATAAGTTAACGTTCGGTTCGAGAATAGAAAGTAAGAGAAACTTACCATTAATATTACAAACAGCAATAATCACTGAGAAATCTTCGTCAGTACCGTAGCTTCGTTAAACAACATGTAGTACAACTTTATAATGCTTCGGTCGTCACGTGAATAGCTGGCTATTGGTGGCGAGTTGTTGTAGGTTGGTCAGGCAAGTGGTATCTTTGGTGGGACAGGTGCCAGAATAGCTTCGTTTGGGGGATGCAAATGAGACGCCTTTTCCTCTGATCTACCGACGTTTGTCTATAATTCGAAACAGTTTTCTTTTTCACACAATTCTCTTCCAACACTGATAATTATTTATCATTATCTTCTATAAACACAACATTTTATAATCACTCAACTTTTTAAAATATTGTAAATTAAATTTCGATTTTATTCACTTAAATATAAGGCTTTTCATCCCGCCAAAAAATAAAAAAAAATATCCAATCTCAATGATTACACCCACTATCAAATAAATGGAAGCGTACTCTATAGCTAATATGAGTAGGCTGATTTATATGTGAGTAGAGTTTCACGTAGGCCCACGGAGAACATTTTTCTGAAATGACCCATTAGAGTACTTTCGTTTCTTATACATAAGTAAGTAGTATTTTATTGTAAAAGAATTTTAATTGAACTTCGTTTTACGATCTTAGATTTATTTATTTGACGAGATACTTAATTAATATTATCTCGTGATTCGCCTTTTTATTTCGTATAGGATTTTTTATTATTAAGATATATTCTGTTCCAGTTTGAAAACTAAAATAAAGAATGATTGAGTTATAAAATTAATTTAAAATTAATATTAAATTTACGTAGGCTACAATCATCTTTAAGATATTTAGCATTTTAAATCAACACAGCAAAACAATAAAAAAGTACTGGTATAATAAGTTAATCTAGGGAATTCAGAATGAGCTTTCGGTGACATTTTTGCTGTTAGCTTAAATTTTTGTTTCTTCTGAATGTGACAACGAAGGGTGATTAATGATAGATAGAAAACTTTCTCGATCGATTTTACACCTTAAAAATGTTCAGCAAACATTTAAAAAGCGGAAAATACAATTTTGAAAGTCGATTTTTTACTAAATTGTAATAATGTAAACATTTCTTTTAACCAAAACGGTTAAAAGAAATGTTTCATCTAAAATAAATTGTCTATATTACTATTATTATAATATATTTTTTAATATAGTAAGTATATATTCCATAAATATAGACTATTCTAATTTTTCTTAATTCAAAATTAGAAATAAAACATTTTATTGATATAGAAACTAAAACAGGATACGCAATTTATACAATATATTAATAAGATAGGCTTTTCTTCGTATAGATTCTTCTACTGGTATTATAAACTTTAATTTGAAATGTTTAGGATTAAACATATTTTATTGTATTTCTGACAATAATTCAAATAAAACAAATAAGTAATAAAAATATCATTTTACTTTTTATTTAAATACAAAAGATTTTATAAATGCTTTATACTCTACTTCTAGGTCTACATTTAATTATCATAAAAATTCTAAACATAGATATGTAGAGATGTACAAAATTTTAATAAATGTTAATGCTAACATTCATTAATAATTCAATAAAGACTAATAAGTTTAATTATTTAATGATTAAAAGTAATGATTTATAATTCTCAGCCTACGAAATAATAATCTTATAACTGTAATTTTAATATCGAAACTAAATTTATTACCTTTCAACTTGATAGATCTGGAGGCCAAATCTATTGTCATTATCATTTACCAAGCAGTCACGAACCGGGATAAATTTATCAATAACTATAAGACGTCAATTTTAAGTGACGTTTTAATTTTTTAAAAAAATTTTAAGATGTGAAAACAATCGAATTAGTACAGTCTTTCTATTATTATTGAGATAACATTATTTAATTTATTACAATTAAGAGGTAATACATAGAAGATATGTTATCTTTTGGGATAAGAATATATACAATTGGAAGAAAGTCAATATAATTCATGTTTAGATAACAAAATACTTTATTGTTTGAATTCTTAAGATTAAAAAAAAAAAGAGAATAAATTTTCAAGCTGTATGTTGATCTTTGATCCGAGAACATCATTCTAATAAGTGTCAGAGTTAAATCAAACCGACGTTGAGAAAATAAATTTTCCATAAAAATTTAAATAAATTATAATTTGTGAAATTAAAATACAGTATTTATTTAAGATTATTCATCGTCACAGTTCAAACACATCCGAATCCCACTAGCGGCCGAGTGGCTAAACCACGGAACACTAGTAGTTTGTTGGTCGTGGTTTCGCGCCTAACCAACGGGTAGGGCACGTGGAGTTCCGGGTTTTCTTCACGTGTTCTAACACCTAAATAGGGATCAGTTTCCAATAAAAAGTCCCCGGATAGCATCCCCCTTCGCAGATCGCCTTCCTATTGCTTTGCCCTATCTCACCGAAAACTTTCAAAAGCTATTGTTTTTCTGTATTCATACTTTAAATAATTTAAACATTTATATTATATATATGAAATATCAAAAAAATTCTGTTTTTAAATTTTAAACCAATCTTTATTTCTATCAAAATATATTGTAGGAATTCATTACATAGAAATAATAATATTTTAAATGCATTAGAAAGTTAAGAAAAATTTTATTACAATAGTTATTAAATTCTTTTTGTCATATTTCATTAAATAAAGTTATATCAAAGATTTGCAACAATAAAAAAACGTACGGATTTCGGAAATAATTTTGGTCCTACTTCATAATCCACAAGGCCTAAGCCTCCAAAAAGTATTTTAAAAGCATTAAGAAACAATTTTCAAATGACAATTGTGAAAATTATATTGTAATCATTTTAAAAAGTTTACTCTTAATAATCTGCGAGCCTAAACTTTTGACAATGATTACATGAAGATGCTAGGAAAAAACTTGGAAGAGACATGAAATTTACCTTCCAATATTTTAATTTAAAAAGCTCCTATCTAATAGAGTACTTTAATAAAATGTACACAACGAATAGACAGAAACTCTAAATCAAAAAGTACTGTTAATGTGTGATATCGCAAAGAAGTATTTTTGATTCATGTCTAAACTTATCAATTATTAAATATTCAATATTTTCTAATATTAATATTATTTTAAGCAGAATAAATATACTTTCTATCAAAAACTAACGACTAAACTGGTTTAAAAATTTCTACAAAACAATATTACATAGATCTATATCTATTTCCCGAGTCACTTTAAAGCCGAACTATATACATAAATCTGATTATAATTATCATTTTTTTAAGCGGGGAGAAAGGGGGTTTTGCTTACTTTAAAGGTTTTATCTTTCTTTCTCTCTACATATGCTAACATTTTACAAGAATATCTTGAATAGAATAGTTTTTTACGTAATTTTTTTAATAAATGGAATTCGCTAAAGTGTATTGTACGTTAATGTTAGATGAAATAAACGATAAAATATTCTTAAAATGTTATTTTTATTCTTTATGTGTAGGGGGATATTAAATAGAAATGCGGAAGCCTTAGCGTGTTTTACAATTCAGGAAACTTTTTATTGTTACGCGTTGCGTCAGACTGATGAAAATATAAAGAATACTGAAACCATAAACATTTATAATTTTCTTTTCGGTTCTTTTAGTATTCGCTTTAATCTCGAAGAGAATGCTTGTTAAGCTTAAAATGATTAGGCCATTTTCTGTCGGAATTAAGACAGGTTGTTTCTTTGCTGGTGAAAATTCCATTTCTGTCTCTTAAATTATTTTCATATAGCGTAATGAATAATTATAAAATGCATAAATTAAACTGTAGAGTCTAGGCTTTTAGATAATAATTAAATTAAATTTATATCTATTTTCACACATGAAATATTCTAAAATTTAGAACAATAATATAAACAATTAATTTTAATAAATTAGAATCTTTTTGTGAAATTAAAAAATAAAATATGTATATTAAATTTTAAAAAATTAAAGTATAAATCTACTTTTTGTCTCCTTATTAATTAAATTATTTTTATTCTATTGCATTCGTATTTACAGAAACAGTTTGAAAAGTGCAGTCTGTTGTAATCTTTTAACCTTTTTTTTTGTACTTTTTGCAAAATCAATAAAACTTAATTTGATTTGATAAATATACAATATAGTAGGACTATTCAATTANAACAAAAAGTATATTTATTTATAAAATATTTATAAATTGTTAATACACATAATTAGATTTAGAAATGGAACTGGAACTTTTATAAAATATACTTTAGTTAACCCTTTCATAATCATCATATGTAGATATAGAATTGGAAAATACATGCATTTTCACATAATTTTAATTAAACGTTTCACTAAAAACAATTGAAACTGTAAGTTATTAACTATGCTATAATAAGATAAGCTTATTTTAAAAATATCATATTGTGAATAGTGAATATAATACAAAATGAATAAAGATAAATGTAAATATACTGTACTGTACAGTACAGTACAATAGAATAACATTTTCAAATGATTAATTGAAGAAATAGTTAAATTTTATTTAAAAAGTCTATTTGTAAGCTTAATTAATTCACAAGGAACTATAGATATATATTAAAATAACGATAAAGTTAATACTAAGGTATTCAAGTTAATAAAATGAATACATAACGATAAGAAAAAATGAAAATGAAAGAAACCGAAAAGTAAAAACAGGTCTATTGTTGACCTTGGTTATACTTTGGCATTTTGTGATACGTTAGAGGTCTGCCGCATACCCAAAATTACAACCTGAAAAGATTTATGCGACTGGACAGGTCGATCTATCGAATATTTCGAGAGAAAAAAAAAACAAATAAATAGTTTTATTATTATCGTTTTAATATGTTTATTAATATAGACTTTTATTTAATTTTCTTTTAAAATCCTATCGAAATGCAATAATTACGTTCAATAAATATAATTTTTTTAGATTTTAATGCTTAATCTGATGAAATTCGTAATAATGACGCAACTAGAGATAATTTATGTAATCATATTTAGAGAAATGACTAGAAATTAAAAGATTTAATATCTGATTAGCAATGAAATAGCAAAAAAATTTCGATCTTATGATAAATAGAACTAACTTAAAATTTTATCTTGATTTTTTTTTATGATAAACAGATTTATATCGGTAAATTCTCATAACCTTTTAACATTTATATAATAAAGTTGATTTTAAAATTTTGAATTAATTTTTTAAAGTTGAAATTATAATTATATAAAGAACGAGAAACTATAAAACCAATCGATTAATTAACCTATTTTAATACGGGCCTAGTTAATTGTATTGTTTCCGTTATGCCTTCGAAATATGAAATTGAATGCATATAGCGATTGAATTTTATATTTACTAAACATGACCATATTTAGTAAATTTTATTTATGTTTGTGTAGTTTGCAATAGACGTTAATTGAGATAAAATTCCATCACATAAGAAACATTTTTCGAATCACACAATACCACTATCCACATGTACGCGATGACGTCGAATTACGTCATGAGAACAGGTCTTGGAAGCTTAAAGGTATTCGAGTGTGTGTGGGCAATGCAGCATTCACGGTCATTTTTAAATCATACACTTATATTTATTGGCTGCTAATAATATTGGTGTGGTCTTTGCGTTTCAAGGTAACCGACAGATGGCTAACCGGTTGGCTTCTATCTCCGAAATTTGTTTTTCAACACAAAAATACCAAAAGGACATTTGCCTTGAGAGATTATCGATAGGAAAACGTAACTTTGCCTTACAAAATAGTTATTTTGATATTAAAATTTTCAAGATTATTTTATTATTAAAGAGGGTAAATTGTGTTAGTCAGAAAATGATTTAATATTATCACGCCCCAAACTGGGAATAGAACACGACGGTAAAATTTGTAACCGTTTCATGACTAATGATTAGATTTTGAAAATATAGGTTATAAAGCCTTGGATGTCTTTTACAGTTCTAATTTACTCTTTATAATCGCAATGGAAAGTTAATTTTTCTTTTAAGTTGGCGGCATTTACTTAACCTAAATGCCGAAAAAATCGGTATTTAGGACAAAAAAGGAGAAAGTTTTTTTCGACACACTCCAAGTAATTAACGGGCATTGCTTTGTTTTTAAGCAGTGCTTCAAAACTTCTCATATCTGTCATGCGAAGATATATCTTGACGGACGTCTCTGCTCATACAACAATTTAACTTTTTTCTATCCTCGGTAGGTAACTTAATTACAACTGATGCATCAGCCCGAGGCTAGAAAGCCAATACATCCTGGTGAACTTTGTAGCGTCTATGGGCACCTGTTTGATTCTGGATAAACTATCTTAACAACTGTGTTTAACCTATTTTATTTTTATTTCGAGAACGAAATTGGTTACTTTTGACCCCTTCTAAACATTTCCCTTTTAATATTCTACATCGATTCGGCAGTGTTTCAACTTAGTTGATTGATAAGTAAGAACAGCGAATAGTTTCGGGTCTGAAAACCGGAGTTGCTTGTTTTCAACCTCATTTGCAAACAGTTTGATAAGAACCACAATGCGAAAAGAGATGATTGACAAAATAAAGCCTATTATCAAATTTTAACGCTTAAAATCTGATAGAGTAAAATGATTTTTCCCGTTATGAAATTTAATCTTATTTATTACCATAATTATGATAATTTACGATTAATATCGATTCAAGATAAAACTTTTAATTAATTAAGTTTAAAAATATTTTCCAAATGATAAAAAATATAAAAATAATAACAATAAAATTGAAATAATTGCCAACGATCAAATAATCAAGTAAATAAATCAAGTAAATTAATTTTAACAATAAATTCGGTTTAAAAATTTACACCATTCTCATCAGAATTAATTGATAAACCAGTTTATTACGAATTTCTAAATTGTAAATTAAACAGAAATCTCGTCAAAGGTCAAACGAAACCAGCATATAAAAGATCAACTTCGGGTAAATTTTTAATCCGAATAATTCGTTTCTATATATTCTGAATTTAACAATAAAAAATAAAGACACGTGAAATATATAGCTGCAAGACATAAGCCAATATACTTAAAGCGTACATAAATGTTTACATCATTTTAAAAACTTGATTTATTATTTATATATCACGTTTTCGATTTCATTTTTTCAAACAATCGATTATCTGAAATAAGAATAGGGAACGTCTCGTGATGAATGTGCAATGATATATCAGCGCAGAAATGAATCATCAAAAATTAAAACAAAACAAGATAGTGATTTTCTGTCTATCAAATCTCGTTTCGGGAGATAAGATTATTCGATTTGATTGTCACCTGGATGCATTATTTGCCTTGTAAATTCATCACATTTTCAAGACTGGCATTTAATATTTAAGACGAAACAGATTTCTAAATATCACGATAAGTTTTGAAAGTTAAAATGTTAGTAAAAATTGAAGAAAAGGTACTTACATTACACGAACGTATTCATGAAAACATTCAGTAAAAGTGTTTTACGTTATAAAAATTAGAATATAGGTAAAAGCATAGAACAATTTGATCGATAAGGAAGACGATAACTTTCTCCTGTAACCCAGTTTCTCTCGTTGTTTATCCTATCAACGTCTTTTGTAAGTTTTTAATAGACAATTTTGAAGCAAGGCAGACGAGGTTACGGAGGTTAGAGGACAGTAAGGGTCGAAAGAGGCCTCTTCATAGTTCTCATGTCGTGACTGTTGTACTTTAGATGTGACCTGAAATTCTAACAGGTGCAACAGATGAAGCGAAAAAAAATATATTCCCTTTTACTATTCTCGACGACTAATTCTTCATCGAAACTGTTTTAAAATATCATTTATCTTAGCTCATTCAATTAAAACAGAAATTATGGAATTGGGATATTTCGGTAATGATATATTTTATTTACCTTCATTAACAAATTGTCGGTACACCCAAAAAATGTTAAACATTTTCAATAAGTTAGGCGTTTTCTTGTATGATAATGATTTATTTATTATTATACGAGGGAAGATATGCGCTAGCCTCTCTCTCTCTTCTAATAAATGCCGAAACTTTCGTGCCGATATTTATAATGCAATTAGTTTCATTCTTTATTTATTTTTTTAATATAAATATGATTTAAATCTGTTAATTTATATATTACGGTTCTTATACGAGGAAATGTAAAATATGCCCGCCAGTAATTCATTAAAAAGCGGCTGTAGTGCATAATAAACTTTATATTAATTAACCAATTAGTAGATTTAATTACTGTAAAATCATTAAAATTATTAAATTTGAAACTTAAAAACTTAGGAATGTAATGATTTGTTATAATTAAAATATTGATAAAATCGTAGATAAGATATAAAAATAAATTTATATATCAATTTGATAAATTTTTGACTCATTGGATTTTTGCAAGTTACAAAATGTGGATTTTTATATAAATATTTAAAAGTAATAATTATTATTATTACTTTTATATAATTATAAATTTATTAACATAAAAATACATTAATGGAGAAGAAAATTTGTGGCGCCATCTGTAATGCTTCTTACAAAATATTTTTTATCTCCGTTTTTTAATTGTCTTTTCAACGTTAATTATATTTAAAAAGTTCAATTAAAGTAGATATTTATTACAGTTATTAATAAATTTATTAAATTTACGAAGGCGTGGAAAATACAATGATTAAACAAAATAATGCTTTAACCTAAAAAACTAAATACAATTGCTTTCATATTCAGAACTTTTAAATCTAAAAACTTCATTTCTTTTTAATTACAAAACAAACGAATAATTTTTTAAAAGAGTTTTATTAGAAAAAGGAAGATTTATAATGTATTTTATAAGTTATAAAGATTGCAAGTACATAAAACATTTTTTAAGAAATATTAACATAACACTATAATGATAAAAATATGCAGAAAAATTTTTAAAAAATAATAAAATATATTAAAAAAAATTAATAGTGGCAATAAAAACAAGAAATTTGTGCATATTTTTAATGATTAATCAAATTTTTTTCAAAAATAATTAATAAAATTGCTGAAAAACTTACACAAAAGAAACGTCTATCAATTAATAACTGGCGAAAACATTGTATAATACAATGCCAATAATTCAATTAGTATTCAGAAAAGCACTGTGCAAAATTTTTTACATAACTGATTTCATTATTAAATAGCATTCTCCCACTCGAATTTAGAATCAAATTTTGATTCTAGATTCGAGTGGGAGAACGTTTTGCAGAGAATGCAGCGATCGAAAGATTTAAAAATAAGCTTGAAAACCGCAGAAAAAAAAAAATTCATTCAAATTAACAGATATATAATGCGGTGACGTCGTTCAAACATTTCAGCCTGAAGGTTGAAAACGTCATCAAGAATGATTTTTTGTAACTGATAAGAGAAAACGAACTCCAGCTTTCAAGGTCAAAGTATGAGTGTGAAGAATACACAACACTTTTATCAAAATATTTTAAGAGCAATGTCAAAATTATCTATAAAAAGTAATGACGATTAATTGTATTTATATAAATAAAATATTTCATTTTACTTATTTATTTTGTTTCTTTTCGATCAATTAAATCGTGCTTTAGGCAAATTTTTCATTCCTTCCTTTTACTTTTTAACTTATCATTTTTTATTTAAATAAGCGTAATAATTTTGAATCGAAACAAGATTTCTCACGAAAGGTAACATGTTGAAGATCATGCGAATTTCAGTTGTGATTTGAATGTTATTTAAGTTTATATATAACTTAAATGCTTCCTGACAGCTATAAAAATAGTATTTGAGACAGAAAACAAGATTTACTCCAACCAATATCTTCAAAAATTTATTTTCAAGTGGGAAAAAGTAGGGAAAACATTTTAGTATAATCTAAATCTTTGCTTATCGATGCGAAACACGTATTATCAATCGAAAGCAATTCGTTCGTTCGTTCTTTAGCACAAGTAATTTGACATTAGCTATAAATAGTGTTTAAATTCGGGAATGGAAATGTTAATAAAATAGCACTATTAATGGGAATTAAAATGGTATAGGCTAATTTAAATATTTTTTCTAGTTCAAAGGATATTTGTAATTATAATATGATTGATTTTTAAAGCTTTACTTAATTTCGATTTAACTAAATATTTATTTATTTTTTAATGAAAGAAAATAAGAGTTCTTTTATGAAGTTACCTTTAATATATGGGTCGTGTTAAACGTATTTTATTTTTAATTTAATTTTGACTAAGATAAAATTATATGATTAGGCGCTATTGGAGAAGGGTAAAAAAAGAAATTCAAATTTAATAAAAGAGGATTAATAGAGTGCAAGGTTTTTATAAACGCTCCAATTTTGTTAGAGAAGAGAAAAAATGAATTTGAATAATTTATGTTAATAAAAATTTTACTTTGTTATGAGATATTTTATTCGTTAGTTTTTTACACAACTTTTCATTCTGGTCACTTCAAAAATGTAACATTTATTTAGGTGTTAAAATTGAATTTGTTTTCCAATTCTACTTGGAACTTAATTATGTGCCACAGTTTCATAAAAGTAACGTTATAATACCGGTAATTTCGATTGTTTTTTAAAACAATTTATCTTCAAAAATAGCGTTTATTTAAATACAATTGACATTTTTTCAAATTACGGAATCAATATTTTAGTTATTTTTTATGGATATAAAATTTTTAATAGTTATTATTTAAAACTCGTCAATCATCAAGAAAATTTTTCTGTTAATAAATAAACATTTTTTAGTTATTTATTTAGATTATTAACTACCAAAGATAAATTCAAATCATATTCTGATAAATGCAAATTACATAAAATTTATTTAGCAAATATTTCAAGTTATTTAGATGAAAATTCTTCTAGTTATCTTCAATTATTTTTTAAATTCTTCATTTATGTTGATATAATCTGTAGTATTTTAACTTAACACGTATTAAATTAAAACAAATATTCATATTTAAAAAATCTTATCTTTATACTTTGCAATTTAGTTAGATTTGAAGGTTGTTTAAATGTTACTTTGATAAACTTTGGCATTTCCAATGAACTAATTTATAATCGTGATCCTTTTGTCAGAATAGTGTGGATTTTTATGTCAATTCGACGTCATGTTTGTATTTTCGCTTTACTAAACATGTAGGAATAACTCAAATTGACGTAAAAATATACATTATTTCGAGGAAAACAATACAGCTTTTATAACATAGTTATGTTAATGAAAAGTGTGTAAACGAATATATAATTTATTTATTGTAACTAATAGAAATAGTTGATATTTTAATCATATTTTGTTTCACTCTGAATTTTGTTTATTCTTTTACGGACAAAATAATATTAGAGATAATAAATTAAAAAATATTTCTTTGATAGTAAACCAAAATGAAACAAAATTTAGGCCCGATAATTCGCACTATTTATTCTAACATTATAAATAAAAATGTACAAATTGAAGAAAACGTCAATTTAATAAATTGACTTAATTAATAAACAACGCTTAGGTTACTTGACTTAAGTTACAATCTTATTTATATTTGAATTATTCTACAATTTAATCAAATAAATATTCATTTAACTCAAAAATTTTATATTAGATTAATTTGAAGATTACTTGTAAGTATATTTCATTCATGCTTTATTTCTTCTGAGGTCAACAAGGCAAACGTAAATATATGGATTTAATGGACAAGTGTCCACTATTATCGAAAGTCCGTTAAATCAAATGTATTTTAAAAACATTTGTTAATAATGAACTGATAACATGCAGGATGTATTAAAATGTCGCTATAATATATAAGTACAAACAAAATATGATTATTATGCACAGTACATTTAGTAATTTATTCTTATTGATTCATTGACTTATTGGCTCAACCTCTTTTAACGCTCTCTATTGGAGAATAAAGAAAATGTTCTATAGTTATTTATTTTCCTTCAGGGAAGAAAATTTTTTTGTCCATTAAATCGAGGACTTACTGTGTATTATATTACATTAAGTTTATTCTTGGCCGTTTTCATAAATACTGTAAATGGTTTAAAAAATTCAGAAAAGAATAAATTGTATTCAATTAAGAAACTACAGCAGATTATAATCTAATAATTCGTTTTCTAATGAAAAAAAATTAACTGCATAATATCCAATAATCACATTTTAGAAACATTGATTTTTTGCCATGTGATTGCATTCTATTTTATTTGTACCATATTCGATATAGATCCTGTTGAATAAATAAAATTTGGCATGAAATGCTCCTAGATTCTATTCTAAATAACTTATTTGGACAGATCACGAAATTTAGAGACGAATAAAATCAGTTTTGAAATCGAAAATCACGCTCAAATGATAGTAAGTAGAAAGCAAAATACCGTGAAAACTGAATTATCGGTCACGTTTTATTATATGTATAACCCAAATTTACGATTGTAATTCTATTTTCACTTGAAAGGATGCATTTTAGCATTTAAAATTTAGAAAAAAAAAATATATTTTGCGTATTTAATTAAGTTATTATTTGCGTACTTTTTATACTAAAAACTGCAGATCTTTAACGTGCAACAGTTGTTNAAAAAATATATATATATATATGCTGAACTGCTTTACCCAATATTTCAATACGTGTTTCTTTCAAAGTGAAAATTAAATTACTCAAACGTGTAATCGATTAAATATTTAAATTAATTTGCTTAATTTAAATTAGAAATTCTTAATTAATAATTACTAATGTCATTCATTGTAATGTTTCTTGAATATTCACAAGTGATTTTGAATTTTCTGTGTTGATTATCTGGACTGAAAAAATAAAATAAAATCAAGTTGTAAATAAGACTGAATATTTTCATAATTAGATTTTTAAAAAATTTAGGCTAAAATTCATGCAAATATTAATAAGCATTTTCAATTAAACAATTTAAATTTATTATATTTATTTATGTTTCTTATAAGTGAATTAAATACAGAGAATTTTTAAACATTTAAAAGTCTTAATTTAATTTTAATTAATTTTTTAAATCAAATTTTATTGACCATAATTTATATGTATCAATATATAGTATATATACATATAAATTTCATATAGTGCAAATTTATCTCTTTTAATCTCAATTTGATGTAAATTTTCAATTTTTATGGCTCATTAATACTTAAAATTTCACTGGAAAAAGCGAATATGTTTTGTCATCTTTTTTTCTTTGAAATTTTCAAAATTATTCAATTTTATATAATATCAGGACAAAGATAATCAGAATTACACTTGATTTTAGTTATATATATATTTCTTATATAATTCTGTAACTAACAAAACATTATAATAAAGTGAAATCATTAAACCTTGTCTCGAGCAAGGATTTATTTTTAACATCCTCAACGAAAGGAATAAAAGTACATGCGAAGTTGCCATGATAAAAAATCAAGATTTCGTCTATTAAAAATAAGAAATAAATTTTTTTATATGCTAAGATCAAGAATGATAGAAAATAACGTGCTTCAAAATTTCAAAATTAATATATTAATCAAATTTTATTGCGTATAACTGGTATTTTATGGTTAAATTTATATTAATTTGTTCTCACTGATGAAAATTTTACACATAAAATTCTAAATCTTCCGTAAGAAAATCCTACGTATGTCATTATTGCATTATACAGTATAAAATAATATAAAAATTATCGATGCAAATGATTTTAAATTGCACATGACAAAAATTTTCAATTAATCATAATTTTGAATTATTAAATAGATTATATGACAATATAATTGTTATATGAAAGTTTTATTATTCTATTTAATATAGATTTATATAAAATAAACTGTTTTTAATTATATAATTAAATGCAATGTCAATAATATTTTGACATTTTCTGAATATAACCAGAACAACTCAGTCATGAAATTCATTAATTAAGTTTCACTGAATTTAACTTTATTACATTAATAAGTTTCTATGGCTACCTGTGATGTCTGGGCTATCCCAGATAGCCATAGAGTAAGATTAATAGCCTAATTATAAGATTAACAGTGTTAATATTATAACTAAGGAACTAAGGAAACATCTTATAACTAAGAAAGTTCTCTAATAAAGCTTATCAATTGATGTATTTGAAAAAAAAAATCCAGCAAGAAGTTGCGTAACTTGCGTAACTCCCGGCAAATAACATTTAAAATTACATGTGACGCCATCTGTTATGATATTATATCAAAAAAA